CGATCAACCTTATTTTTAATTATGACTTTCTTCTCAATTTCTCGACCTCTTCTTTCCCCTCCTTTTCTCAATTCTCCTCTTCTGCATCTCATTTGTTGCTACAAACGAAAGAAGAAAAATTCAAAAAAATTGGAGGGCAAAACCTAATCTTTTTGACATGATAATCGCTTATTGTTTCTGGTCTTTCGTTTATTTGTATTTTTTACTTCAGTGTTTTTTTTCTCTTAATTTTCACTCAGCGACGGAACAGAAGTTAAAGGAAGAAAGCATCAAAAAAAGGCATGCTAATTTTTTTACGTTTAATCTTTAACAATTATGTTTCTATTTTATTTGCTTACTTTCTTTCTACTTTTTATTTTTGTTTTATTTCATTTTATTTTTTTAAACATGCCAACTTCAAATTCTGCCTGTTTTTTAAAGGAGGATTTTTCACCTACTCGTTTTTTCTTTCTTTTTTTTCTCGTTTCTATCGGTCGGTTAAAGTCTAATTTTTTTCTTTTTGTTTTTGAATAAGTTCTGTTTCATTATTTGTTTAGTTGAACAACTAAAAAAAAGCTGAAGGAGAAATGTGAGATGGCAAGAAACAAATTAAGTATGGCTTTTTTTTTTTACTAAATTTGCTTTTTTTCTTATTTTGCTTTCTCGATAAATAAAAAAAAAGGCTTGACTGACTTAACAATTATTATTGATATTATAATTATTTATTACTACTATTTATTATTGTTTATCACTACTTTCATGATTATCATGATCAACTGCTAATACTATCTTTTTTTTTCACAGACAGTATATCTGTTTGCTATAAAATTTAGGTTTTGTACAACGTAAAATTAAACTTTTTTTCTTGCTTTAGAAAACTGTTTCCTGTATCAACTGCTGGTCATCAGCGACAAAGAAGCAAGGCCAAATGCTTCAGATCCCACCTTAGATGTTTACGGAGCAATTTCTTCTATTTACAGAATGGCCAAAAAATTTCTTCGACTTTTTACTCTACATTATATTTCTCATCTGTATCCTAATGATAATTTCCACGCTAATCGGCAATGCACTGGTAATGTTAGCTGTTATGCTTGTTCGTAAGCTCAGGCATCCATCAAATTTTTTACTGGTATCATTGGCAATTGCTGACTTTTGTGTTGGCCTAATTGTTATGCCACTGGGGCTGATCGAACTTGTAACAAAAAAATGGATACTTGGATCTGTCTTATGCCGTCTATGGACATCTGCTGATTTGACGTTATGCACAGCGTCCATAATCAACTTGTGCATGATTAGCGTTGATCGCTATTTTGCAGTCAGTCGGCCACTCCGTTATTCAGCCCAACGGACGCTGAAGCGGATTCTTGTCTACGTGGCTATCGTATGGATAGCTGCACTGATCGTCAGTGTCAGTCCGCTGATTGTTTTTCCTGCAAAAAATGAGGAAGGGCTTTGTCAGGTTAGAATTAATTTTAAATTTTATCTCGTTTTTTTAATCGTTCTCTCTCACTCTTTCTCTAAGTCTTTTTGTGCTTCTAGTTTCAATCTCCAGGTCTAGCGTATGTAAGTTGTCATCAATTATTATCATTTTGGCACATTTTTTTGACAATAGCATTCTTGCTTAACAATAATTTAGTCGACAAGAGTGGTATTCCATGTATATAAACTGTTACTTTTTTTACGGTTCAACGATTACTGCAACAATTTTATGCTTAATTGATCAAGTGTTGCGCTTAACAAAATTTTTTTGTGCTGCACACTCTTCATCATGAATTGCTGCTTGTGTTTCTGCTTAACTGCACATCTTTGACGATACTGATTTTCGTTTTTACGAGCTGAAAGAATGCTTAGCACTAAACGGTATTTATTTTTTTTAAAAAAAAAAAGAACTTTTTTTGGCTGAAGAAATGAATTTTGCAAAAAATGTGGGTAAAAAAAACCAACCAAAGGGAAAAAACAATGTGCTAAAAATAGCGTATAATTTTTGTGTATGGCGAGCAGATGAAGCCGTTCAGTTTCGTTTAGAACAGTAAGGGAAATAATGTAAAACAGCATTAGCACAAGGTTTAACTTCAAAATTCCAATCAAACGTAATCTGGCGTTTAGAACAATTTATATTTTAAACAGGGCTAAAAGGTAAAAAGAAAAAATGATTAGAAATAAGGAGTAACAACTGGAATTTACTGTTTGGTACAAAATTTTGGCATTAATTTCCCTCCTTTTTTTTTATATTTTTCTTTATTGTCTTCAAAAAAGTGCTAATTATTTGACATTCTTACATAAATAATTTAATAACTCTGATTTCGATATCTTACGGCTCTATAAAGCTGCCGCATGGTCTTTTTGTCTTCTCTAGGACAGCAAGAAACAAGAGGTTGCTTGAAGTTTTTTGGAAAGATAATATAAGACTACAACTAAAATTAAGATTTGAGACTGATCTATAAAAGTTGAAAAAGAGTAAAAGGTAAGATCAAAAACCATACAAAAAAACTGACATCAACAGCAATGGCATAAAAAGAAACTTTTCCAATATTTTCGCTTCTCTTTTTGACGCTGTTTTGCCCTTGCAACGTATGCTGCTACTGCTGATAACTTCTTTGTTTTAGCTTTCTTCTCCTATTTCTAAAAAAAACTTTTTATATTTTCTTTCTTGTTGTTGTTTCGTCACAAAAATGATGAAGAAATAGCGAAGAGAGGAAAACAGCCTTATGAAGCCAGAAACGCAGGTCGTCGGGCATTAGCCGTAAGCAGTTGTGGTCAAACCTATTGGCCATATACTAGTTTCTGTTATTGAAAATGTTTCGTATATTATACTTTGCATCTGTCGGTTACGACTGAATCGCTTAAAAATTCTTTTTACCTAATTTTTTCTACATTCAAATTTATAAAAGCACAAAAATCCATATACAAAGACTGATCTCCTGGTTATTTTAGTGCAGTCTGCCAGACCAAGTGCTGATCTTTCCTATTTTTGCTGTTTTTCTCCTTTTCCGCCTCTTTTGTATCTTTTAATGTCATTACTGTTTAGCTGTTGCTTTATGGCACTCATTTTGTTGTTCACTCTTTTAGGCGATAGTTGGATGAGAAAAAATAACAAAAAAAGGACTTGCCCTTAAAAATCTTCTTTTTCTTGCTGCTTGCTATCAATAATGTATAAATGCAATAAAAAGTGTGTTCAAACGGCATCAGATTCCAGTTTTTCTTCAGTTGTTTTATTCTGCTTCCTTTTTTACTTTATTTGATTTAATTTTTTTGTTTTTTTTTTTTCTTTGACGTGTTAGGTGGAAAATAGAAAAGTTACAAGAAATTTTTTCTGATGGTTTTTGTTCTTGTTCTTGTTCTTATTTTTGGTCTTTTTCTTGCTTTTTTCTTCTTTTTGTTTCTGTTCTCGTTCTCGTCTTTGCCCTTGTTCTTGCCCTTGTTCTGACTTTTGCTCTCGTTCTTGTTCTCCTTCTCGTTTTTGTTCTAGCTCTTGTTCCTGATCTTGATCTTGATCTTGTTCTTGTTCTCGTTCTTGTTCTTGTTCTTGTTCTTGTTCTTGTTCTTGTTCTTGTTCTTGCTCATGTTTATGTTCTTGTTCTCGTTCTCGTTCTTGTTCTTGTTCTTGTTCATATTTATGTTCTTGTTCTCGTTCTTGCCCTTGCTCCTATTCTTGTTCTCGTTCTCGTTCTTGTTCTTGTTCTTGCTCTTGCTCTCGTTCTTGTTCTTGCTTCTGTTCTTGTTCTCGGTCTCGTTCTTGTTCTCGTTCTCGTTCTTGCTCTTGTTCTTGCTCTTGCTCTCGTTCTTGTCCTTGCTTCTGTTCTTGTTCTCGTTCTCGTTCTTGTCCTTGTTCTTGTTTCTTTTCTTCTTCTAGTTCTTGTTCTTTTTCTAGCTCTTGTTCTTGGTCGCGTTTCTCTTCTTGGCCTTGGTCTCGGTCTTGCTCTTGTTTTTGTTTTTGTTCTCGGTCTTGTTCTTATTTTTGTTCTTTTCTTTTTCTTCTTTTTCTTATTCTTATTCGTATTCTTTCTCTTCTTCTTCTTTTCTTTTTTTTTCTCGTTCTTATTTTTGTTCTTACTCTTATTCTCACTCTTATATCTGTTATTTTTACTGCTGTCTTCATTCTTCGTGTTGCATATTTTTATATTTTTGGAAAAGCAAAAGAAAATTGTTGTAGAGTTTCGGTCTGTTTTATCGGATAGGAAGTGAAAAAAATGAAGAAAACAGCGGAAGTTAGGGAGAGGAGGAGCACGAAAAGAAACTGGCAGTTTGCAACCCTTATTAGTTTTTTTTTCTTTGAAAAGGGTAGCGGAGGTTATACTTCGTAGGTGTTTATCAGCTGTATTTTTAACCTTTTTAAATGCAGCTAAACAACGAAAATAAAAGAATGTTCGCATAGTTTGAGCGACTAGATAAAAAAAAATTTTTTTTTTACTTATATAAAGGTTCTTGTACAATTATGGGTTTTTATTGCTGTTTTTTTGATCAATTATATTATTCTTTTTTTTTTTAAAGATTATTTTTGGGATTTTGAGATTTGAGACCATTTTGAGACCAAAGTGCACTTCTTCATATATATATATATATATATATATATATATAT